TCGGAGATCTTCGGCTTGAACTCAGTCTCTGAAGTGCCTGAACCAATTACGATGTTCTCGACATTTGAATATTACATTGTGTAACCTGTAAGATCGCGACCTTAAAAAGTGACATTTGTTACCTGTGCGAGCAATCTTAGCAGGAACCATTGATTGCGCAGTCTGGTACGGTAGTACTCGCTTTCCGAAATGAACAGAACTGCATTGCGCCAAAGAAGAGACCGCTGAGGAATACAAAGAAACCATCAATTCTGTTTCATTCTTCAACATTACTTAGCAAGTCTCTCGGTTAACGGCAACGAGGGAAAAAAAAGCAGGCACCCAAAAAGAGTAAGGGTGACGCAACCTGTTTTTCGCTCGCCAGCTCTTTCACTCCTCCCCACTGATTGAGAGCCTGGTAAAGGCAAACATACGTGGCTCACGGAGTTAACGAGTTTTGAAAAACACTCAAGGCTATAATTTCATTTTTAGTCCAGATATTATTTTATTTTACGGGAAAATGAGCTTGTTTAGTTGCGTTCAATCTAACATTGTCGGCCATAAGGTATCAAATTACTTCGTTGGCTTGTCCGAATGACGACAGGGGCAATGAAAACATAAATTTTTTTTCTTGGTCAGAAAATGTTGAGTTTTTGTGACAAACGTAGGACAACCAAGAAAAAGTTTAATCAAACTTTGCGCACGTTTCAAGTAAAATTAGTTATAATTAGTTACCCTTAGTCTGAGGAAAGCTTTGTAAAGACTGGCCACTTAGGTTTTTACCATTGGCATCGTCCAAGACCTGAAGTCAAATAAATTACTCATAGTGTTAGTATTCTCCAAATAATCATACAAAGGGGAAATTCGGCAACTATAGGGACAAAAATGCTTTCGGGCAAAGTCCTGAGAGTCCTGAGATCAACTGGAACGTCAAATAGGAGACAAAAGGAACGTATTTCTTCGACGTTTTGAATGATATCATTTTCCAGTCTTTAGGCCGCTCAGTGCCATATCAAGGTCTGACCAAACCTGATTCGAATCCCCTTCGCAGGTTAAATACAACGAAAACCTGATCGCAAGGAACTTGAATTGGCTTTACCTGACTCCAAGTCTTGGGCGGACAAAACTTTGGACCCTGTGTACGCGTGCAAACGAAAGGCTTCCTTGTCAAGGAAACATAATGCGCACAATCATCGTGGCAACATTCTACTTCTGCATGCCAATAACAATTTCCGGTTCCATGAACAAACTCGCGTGGACACAAATCGCATCTAGCGCAGAGATCCCATGATACTGTTTGCAGCCAATGACACTCCTCGTGCAGCCTCTCCAAACTTGTCTTCAAAAAGCTAAAAGAGAGGGAGAGACTTTTGTCAAAGAGGTTGATATCTTTTCTTACAAATCTTTGACGTGCATACGTTAATGTCCGGAAAGTTCGTAATGTACGCAATGTTCACCTGAGAGAAATGAAGTAAACCGTAGCCTCCTTTGAAACAACATCTTGACTAAGACATCCATTACACTATCAAAGGGTTAACGATGTTATGAGCAAACCAAACTTGTCGGATCAATTCACATCGCATCAAAAACCACTTCCGATTACACGAACTGATAATTCATGTAAAAGTTACCACCCTATAATAGAATGACTAACTTACGTGCACCTACCTTAAGACCTCTGAGCAAACTTTTGGCTCGGTCTTGACAGGGTCCATACTTAGATAGGTGAAATTCCATACGTGTACTTTGATCACACGCTTGTAGCAAACAAAATCAACTGCAGTCTGATCTCCCAAATAGAAACGAGCTGAGTTAGCCCACAGCTTTGCCTGATCACACGCAATTCGTCTTTGTACAGATTCGAAGAAAAGGACAACCATTCTTGAAAATAGACCACCAGGGACGTACTGAGTAGAGAATGTGACATAAACTGGTGCAGGGCCTGGATTAACAGAAACGTCCGGCATAAATGCATCGTCAGGTGTGGAGGTCAGCATACACGGAACAAGATACACGGAACTGCCATCTTTTCCCGTATATTCACAAAGAAGGTTGAACTTCTTCATGAGGAAAAGTAAAGACTCCTTGATGTCGCCAACGCCCAGTTTTGTGCAAGAGTAATCAAGCAGTTTAGCATCAAGAATGCCGTTCTTGCCAAGATCTTTGCGGAGATTTGAAATGACAGTTTTCTCTTCTTCTTGTTTTTCAACCGTTATTATCTGACACAAAACATCAATCAACCACCTTGGATTCAAAACAACCAGACTTAGTGGATCGTCCGCTCTACCATGATAAACCACTGTGCCACGATCGTGCAAAAAGTGTAAAAGTACTTCA